TCTGCAGTGTTGGGGGGCCATGCAGAGCAATGTGTGGGGCTCTGCAGTGTTGGGGGGCCATGCAGAGCAATGTGTGGGGCTCTGCAGTGTTGGGGGGCCATGCAGAGCAATGTGTGGAGTTGTGCAGTGTTGGGGGGCTGTGCTCAATGCATGGAGGGGCCAGAGCCAGCTGAGGGGCTGTGTGATGTGGGGGGGCTGCTCAGGCCGAGGGGAGCCTGAACGATACCAGGGACCACACAGTAGGAACGGGAACGGGAGCAGCACCGGGGGCTACCGGCAGCAGAGGCCTGGCAGCGGCTGCTGCCGGGATTCCTGTCGGGGCACTGCAGTGTTTGGGATTGTTGTTTTGTTTTTTTTTTTTCCTTTTCTACAATAAAAGGGTGTAATTGATTGAAAATGCTGAAATAAATCCCGATGGCTCGTAACCGCGATTAGATTACGGCGGGCGATTCATTACGCGGGACAATCGAGTTAGCGGGGAGCGGCCGGGGGCCGCAGGGACCCTCCGGCACCGCGTGGACACAGCTGCACACGCCGGGACGCACGGACACGGCACGGGGACAGACGGACAAGGACAGCCGGGAACAGGCGGCCGCACCGCGGGGCACAGCCTGGCACGGGCGCTGGTGCGGCTGCGGCACGGAGCCGTGCCCGGGGAGACACGCCAAGGGACACGGAAGGACACGGGATGGCACCGGCAGCGCGGAGGCACCGCACACCCAGCCTCCACATCCTCCCCCACGGCTGCCCTTGGGTCTCTGTCCACGTGGGGAAGGCCGGGAAAGGGCCCCGTTATGGATTATCCCAGCGTGTGGAATTGGTGCCAAACGGGAGCGCGGTGCAGCCCCCGGTGTGCGGGTACGGTGTGCAGCCACCGGTTGGTCTGGGAGTGCTGGGCAAGAGCTTCCTGACTGAAAAAGAGAACCAAAAAAACCTCACAAAAAGTGGGTCTCAGGCTCTTCCTTCTCGCAGTGACGCCGGCGGGAGTGGGAAGGGGCCAGGGGAAGCCCTGGTGCCACGTGGGAAGGGGTTGAGTCCAGGGGTTGTGGAGCACCAGGGTTGTGTCCCTGGGCACAGTTGGCAGATCCCCAATGGGTAAACATCAAACCTGGGCAAGCCCCTGCTGTGGGCAACCCCCCTCCCT